GAGGAAAAAAACCTTCATTCACCAAATGTCCCTTTCTTCAAACCACCTGCCCATTGAGCTCTGCCTGTACGCTCTCCTCTGGGTCATCTCTGACCTTTACTGAGAGCATGACAAGGGAAGCAGACTTCCATCAATGGCGTTCTGTGTGGATGGATAATAGGTGCAACGTGAAACAATACACAACAAAGACTGTTCTCTAGGACTGAATCATTTGGAAGGTTGTAATCAGTCCTGAGCCATTAGCGATGGAGAGAAGCTCAAAGTGAAGTAAATAAGCCACAAGTACCTTGATTCTTCCTAGAATTCACAGAAAAAACTGACATAAGTGATAGGAGAGCATTTTCACTCAAAGATCGAGAGTTTTAATCTGATCATGGAGACTTATTCAGTTATGTTATTATTAAACATATTCATTTGTTCCTTCCTTGAGTTGATATGGCAATTTTGGACTCAAAAAATGTGATGATAAACCTAACGTTTTCTTTCAGGACACTGAAAATAGTTTGATGGCAAAACCAGCCCTAGACAGGACAGGAATAGGATATACAGTATGTTATCTTAATTTATGTTTCTAGGTTTTTTTAATACAGAATATTTTCCTTTCATCTTAATCAGTGTTGGGGTAGTTATTCCAAAATAGTAATACATTGGAAAAATCTTCAGCAGGAATTGAAACTGAGCAATCTCATTCCTCTGCATGTTTTTAAAGCTAGGCTAAATTAAATGCTCGTTGATACTATGGGCACTTGTAAATGTCGATAACTTTGTAAATGTAACCTGTAAATATAATGTATGATGTCCTTTATTGTTTTATGTTTCATGTGGAACCTATATGCTGCAGGTCTCCCTTGGAAAAGAGATCTATGATCTCAATGGGACCAATCTAGTTAAATAAAGGTTTGAAATGAAATGAAATAATAAGTAATTATAATAATAAAATTAATTATTCTAAAAATAATAACTATAATAATAATTAAACAGTCTTTAGTAAAAAGGTGATAATGTGAAAATGGATGATCTTTACTGATCACTTTAAACAGAGGCACGAGTCTCACCAAGGAGTTCAAAACTAGCATTGTTAATCTGAGATCAAGCCTGTCATAGCAAAGCATTTCAATTTGACATCTCAAAATAAAAAATATAATTTTAGGCTGCGTTCAAAGGGAGGGTGACTTCTTTGGGTCTATTTCATTTCTAATGAGCACCGTCTAAAGATATTTGCTGAATTTATTTGACATTTTAACATCAGTGGTGTAACAGTGAACACTCAAAGATCACAAAAGTAATTTGCACATTTTAACTATTACTATGTGTTAACAGGTAAGTTTGAATAGTAGAATCAACTGTAAGGGTGGCAGCTCAATGTTGGGGGCTTCCTGGTACCAGAAATCACAATCGTACAGATGTTTCACCAAATGCAGATCTAGAATGCAGAACACTTACAGTACAATACACATGTATATTTAACATCACTGTCATGAATAAATACTATAATGTCTGACTTTATAAATCATCCGAAACATTAGATTTTCTCTAAATACTTAAAATGTTTTCCTATGAATAATTTAGAATAGAAAGGGAATACAAATGTCAAATATGCTCATGTTGATGTGTTTAGTCTACAGAGGGAAAAGCGTGTTGACTTGAAAAAGTTTAGCTACGGGATGAGCAAAAAGCAACACAAAAAGAAAGAGATAGGAGAGAGAGGAGAGAGTAAAAGAGAAATAGGTATGACAGAAGACTCAGCACAACACATGTTTATCGCCCACTTCTTCCTTCAGGGTCTTTTTGATCCGTGAGGTTTTATAAGGATCTCACAGCCCACAGCCCCCCCCCCCCCCTCCGTCCAAGCCTGAGAGGCAAGAAGGGAAGAGCATCACAAAACCTCTGATTCTGACAACCTCATTCTTTACTAAAAAGGTTATTTTATACCCAACATGGACACAGATGAGTCCAAACATTGATGGATAAATAAAGTTTAGATCACGTTTCTGTCTCACACACACACAAACACACACTTATCACTTTGATGAAGGATGGGCAGCATGTGTTCAAGGACCACAGGATACAAACAAAAGGGAGGAGTGCACATTAACAATGTTTAGTGCTTTCTGCCACTTCCCGCTTTTGAAAACAATCTGAAAAGCATAAGAGAGATGAAGAGTTGTGCTACAGAAACCTTTGCTATCAGTGTCACAGCAGTGAGAAACACTTTACCTCTCATTTTAAAGAGAGGGAGACAAACATTTGCAGCTGCTCCATTCTTCCCGGAGGATCACTCAGCGCTTGTGTGTGTGTTTATTTTGTTAAGGGGCAGAGGGAAATTAAAATCTTT